GATCATGGGGCCCCTGTGTCCTTGGCCCAAGCTCAAAAAAGCCTACAAAAAAGGTACCAGGGGCATCTCATGGGGCACCCTACTGACCCTGGGCAGGCCTGAGTTTCCAAATGGTCAGTCCACCCCTGGTCAATGGAACCCAAATCTGAACTGCATATTGCAGATGGGGTCTCACTAAAGCTAGCCATACACCGAGATTTCCCATGTTTAGCTGGCATAGTGAATGAGAGCCGTCTAACAGATTCCTCCATCTACACCACTAAGGACTAATCCCCCTTGCTGGGCTATTGTACTCTGACAGCTGTCATGCAAAGCTGTTGAATGTTTGGATGCAGCCACTGTTCTGACAATTTTCCAGCAGTTGGTTCAACAAACATTGACCAGAAGATAAACTTCTGTTGAATGGAGCCAACAGGGCCTCCTACTGAGTGACCATTGGTCAGTTCATTAGGATCTGGTTGATGTTTGCTCATTGTGTGGCCAGCTTCATTCTTTGCACATTAAGAGTCTGAAATGTTATAAAAGGAAAAATATTTTTCCAGCTTTAGAAACTGCAGCTTGCCATTGCAGGCCAATGATCTACCAGAACACCCAGATCCCACAACTGCTCTCCTAGAACCATGCAAGGCCCTTAACCTCAGGTTCAAAGTGTCGGGATGTAATTTACACCAGGTGTGCTCGGCATCCTTGTCCAGAAGAAGCCACCCAATTACCCAAACAATACATTCTAGCCTGCCTGTAAGATGTTCTTGTAGCTTAGTATCTGCAGATACTGAAATGGTATTTTGATCCCAAAATATCAGTTATAAAATAGGTTAAGGAGGTTACAAAGTACACAGACCCAATACTCAATCTTGGGGTACACCAATGAACCTGGGAGGTACACAACATTGAGGTACACTGGCCATACCACAGAACCTCAGGGAGTACAGCCTGGGGGGTACACTCAACACTGTACCTTGGAGGTGCACTAGCTACACCATCAAAGCTTGGGGTACACTAACAAGACCATTGACCCTTGGTGGTACACCACCACAACTTTAGGGACAGCTTGGGATAAGCACAACCATGGGAGTAGACTACCAACATGACAGCTTGGGATAAGCCTCTAAAACCACTGAACCTTGGGGGTGCACACACAACAATGGAGGCACACCACAGCTTGGGATAAGCCAATACTACACTGAACCTTGGGGTGCACAATGGAGGCCACTGTACACCAAAGCTGGGGTACACTGCCAGCAAAGCTTGGCATCAGCCACTGAACCTTGGGTGCACACCAACACTAATGTACCTTGAGGTTCACCATCTACACCAAAGCTTGGGATATGCCACTTAACCTTGGGGTGCACAACCATGGAGGCAGACCACTGTACCTTAGGAGGTACACTGCCTACACCAAGACCACTGAACCCATGGGGTACACAACTCCAAACACTACTATTCTTGAAGTACACTGCCTACATCACCAGAGCTTGGGATACACCACTGCACACTGTGGGGGTGCACAACCATGGAGGCACACCAAACACCACTGTACCTTGCCTATACCACCAAGTCTTGGGATACACCAAGACCACAACCTCAGGCCATACAGCCTTGGAGGCACACTGCCAACACCACTGAACCTGGACATGCACCAGCAATACCAGGGTCAATAAACCACCAGGGCCCAAGGTTACACAAGCTTGGAGATACAACAGCTACACCACCATGACCACTGACCCTTGGTTGTACACTGCCAGCACCACAGAACCTCAAGGCACACAACATTGGAGGAACAGCACAAGATCCTGGGGTACATCCAACACCACATTACTTTGAGGTACACTACTGAACCTTTAAACCTCATCCATCTAGTTGCCCAACCAAACACATTGAGAAAATGCATTAAATGCAATTGCATACCTTGGTGTTCCCTACAAATGGTTTTTTATATCTTAAGCTAGAACATTTTCAAGTTGAAAAGGAAAGACCCAACACTGTACCTTGGGGGACACCCAACAAAATAAACATTCCCTGGGAGGTAATACACCACTAAACTTAAGGAGACAACCTTGGGGGGGGACACAGCCAACACTCCTGAACCTTGTAGTACACCACTGAACTCAGTCTATCACAGCCATAGTCATCCAGAAGCTCATCCTCCTCCATTAGTACATCCACATGGCACACCAAGCAGAACCTTCAGTCATACCACCACCACCACACCAGGTTCAATGTTTCTCCAACTTACCAATTTGTTGAGTCCTCTTGGTTGGTTCAGCTTCACTCCAACAACTGCCATTCACAACCCAAGTGTGAGCTCTCTGGGAGCTGAGCCAGTTATATCACACCTGTGGCCAGGTAACCCCGCCCCTTAATTAGAAAGCTGGAAAAAAAAGTTCAATTTAGGAAGTGACAGAAATGTGAGAGAGGGGAAAAAAAGTGGATTGAAGGCGGATTCAGAGTCAGGAGAAGAAACCAAATCCAGCCACCGAGGAGTCGTCCCGTCTCAGCCAAACTCCATTCCTACAAATCCCGACGTGGGGCAAAAATGGATCTCCTCATCCTGGAAGGAAGCGGAACTGTCTGCTGTTACATTGTATACACTGACCCTGTCCCTGAGGTTACATCGTATACACTGACCCTGTCCCTGAGGTTACATCGTATACACTGACCCTGTCCCTGAGGTTACATCGTATACACTGACCTGTCCATGCGGGTACATCGTATACACTGACCCTGTCCCTGCGGTTACATCGTATACACTGACCCTGTCCCTGAGGTTGCGTTACATCGTATACACTGACCCTGTCCCTGAGGTTACATTGTATACACTGACCCTGTCCCTGCGGTTACATCGTATACCCTGACCTGCCCATGCGGTTATCACATCGTATACACTGACCCTGTCCCTGAGGTTACATTGTATACACTGACCCTGTCCCTGAGGTTACATTGTATACACTGACCCTGTCCCCTGAGTTACATCGTATGCGCTGACCCTGTCCCTGAGGTTACATTGTATACAACTGACCCTGTCCCTGAGGTTACAATCGTATACACTGACCCTGTCCCTGAGGTTACATCGTATACACTGACCCTGTCCCTGAGGTTACATCGTATGCGCTGACCCTGTCCCTGAGGTTTACATTGTATATACACTGACCCTGTCCCTGAGGTTACATCGTATGCGCTGACACCTGTCCCTGAGGTTACATCGTAATAACGCTGACCCTGTCCCTGAGGTTACATCGTATACACTGACCCTGTCCCTGAGTTACATCGTATGCGCTGACCCTGTCCCTGAGGTTACATTGTATACACACTGACCCTGTCCCTGAGGTTACATCGTATACACTGACCCTGTCCCTGAGGTTACATCGTATACACTGACCCTGTCCCTGCGGTAACATCGTATACACTGACCCTGTCCCTGAGGTTACATCGTATACACTGACCTGTCCATACGGGTACATTGTATACACTGATCCTGTCCCTGAGGTTACATCGTATACACTGATCCTGTCCCTGCGGTTACATCGTATACACTGACCCTGTCCCCTGAGGTTACATCGTATACACTGATCCTGTCCCCTGCGGTTACATCGTATACACTGACCCTGTCCCCTGAGGTTACATCGTATACACTGACCCTGTCCCTGAGGTTACATCGTATACACTGACCCTGTCCCTGAGGGTTACATCGTATACACTGACCCTAGTCGCTGAGGCTTTCACTTCTAAAGATTTGTATCAGTGGAGCAAAAATCATACGTAACATCCAATAATGAGACCTTGTAACTGACCGACCCCTTCACTGCAAGGGTTTCAATGCTCCATTAGATGGAGGAAAAAACAAATGGTGGAACCCTTCATAATGGGCACAGCGGGCGTTACAGACCCGGAACCTCGGCACAGGGATGGTGGGAACTACCCTCATAATGGGCAACTAGTACAGCGGGCGTACAGACCCGGAACTCGCCGACAGGGATGGATGGTTAACACCCTCATAATGGGCACAGCGGGCGTACAGACCCGGGACTCGTCGGCACAGGGATTGTGGGAACACCCCTCATAATGGGCAACAGCGGGCGTACCAGACCCGGAAACTCAGCACAGGGGTGGTGGGGGAGCTCCTCATAATGGCACAGCGTGTGTACAGACCCGGAACTCAGCACAGGTATGGTGGGAACCCCTCATAATTGGCACAGCGGGGTAACCACCCCTTACAGACTCGGATCAAAGCACATTGACACAGCAACCCCTCATAAATGGGCACATCACCCAGCTGTACAGTCACCCAGGAACGTGGCACAGGGATGGTGGGAACCCCTCATAATGGGCACAGCGGGGCGTACAGACCCAGACTCAGCACAGGGATTCCAGTGGGAGCCCCACATAATGGGCACAGCGGGAGGCGACAGAACCCCGGAACCTCGGCAGTCAGGATGGTGGGAAACCCCTCATAATGGGACACAGCGGCGTACCCGACCCGGGGGGCCCGGAACTCGGCACAGGGATGGTGGGAGCCCCTCATCCATGGGCACAGCAAGAGCGTAACAGACCCGGGAACTTGGCACAGGGATTGGGAACCCCCTCATAATGGAGAGAGACATGACACTAAATACTCAAAAAAAGGTCCAAAAATACATTTGTGTTTCCATGGGTGTCCGAACAGGTTGAAATAATCCATTACACCTACTGCAGTCCGGAAAACCCCCCCCCCCGACACCCCCCCTTTGCGCTCCCAGAAAGGCCCGTATACCTCCAAGTCCGCAACAGACGTCCCCCCCGTATGACAGAATCTTCTCACGCGCCGGCGTCCCCTTCCAATGCCTTCCCCACACCCAAACCATAATTGATATTGTTATCAGCGGCGGACCCATCGGGTCTGGGAGGTGCTTCAATCCCTGCGACAAGCCGCGTCCTTTGATAAAAGAAGTCATTTCATGTTTTGTGGAGCGAAAACCGATGTTATTGTGAACTGCGGATCACTGGTCGAGAAATAATAGGAACCCCCCTTCCAGCCAACACAGCGACTACACGCCCCGGTTCTGGTGGGAATTTTCAATTGTTGTGTGAAGTGGCTTTCTTCCAGTCCGGACACACCCCCCCCCTTCCAATCACAAACCTCCGGACACACCCCCCCCCCCCTTCCAGTCCACGGACACTTCCCCCCCCCTTCCAGTCCGGACACTTCCCACCCCCCCCTTCCAGTCCGGACACTTCCCCCCCCTTCCAGTCCGGACACTCCCCCCCCTTCCAGTCCAGACACACCCCCACCTTCCAGTCCAGACACAACCCCCCCTATCCAGTCCGGACACTTCCCCCCCCCTTCCAGTCCGACAACACCCCCCCCCCTTCCAGCCGAGGGGGACTACTTCCCCCCCCCTTCCAGTCCGACACTTTCCCCCCCTTCCAGTCCAACACTTCCCCCCCCTTCCAGTCCGGACACTTCCCCCCATTCCAGTCCAGACACAATTTCCCCCCCCCATTCAGTCCAGACACACTTTCCCCCCCTTCCAGTCCGGACACTTCCCCCCCCCTTCCAGTCCGGACACTTTCCCCCCCCTTCCAGTCCGAACACTTCCCCCCCCCCTTCCAGTCCGGACACTTTCCCCCCCCCCCTTCCAGTCCGGACACTTTCCCCCCCCCTTCCAGTCCGGACACTTCCCCCCCCCCTTCCAGTCCGGACACTTTCCCCCCCTTTCCAGTCCGGAAACTTCCCCCCCCCCCCTTCCAGTCCGGACACTTTCCCCCCTTCCTTCCAGTCAGACACCCCCCCTTTCCAGTCCGGACACTGGACACTTCCCCCCCCCTTCCAGTCCGGACACTTTCCCCCCCTTCCAGTCCGGACACTTCCCCCCCCTTCCAGTCCGGACACTTCCCCCCCCCCCTTCCAGTCCGGAAAACACTTTTCCCCATCCCCTCCTTCCAGTCCGGACACTTCCCCCCTTCCAGTCCGGACACGTTCCCCCCCTTCCAGTCCGGACACTTTCCCCCCCTTCCAGTCCGGACACTTTCCCCCCCCTTCCAGTCCGGACACTTTCCCCCCTTCCAGTCCAAACACTTTCCCCCCCTTCCAGTCCCGGACACCTTTCCCCCCCCCCCCATTTCCAGTCCGGACACTTTCCCCCCCTTCCAGTCCGGACACTTGGCTCCCCCCCTTCCAGTCCGGACACTTCCCCCCCCTTCCAGTCCAAACACTTTCCCCCCCCCCTTCCAGTCCCGGACACTTTCCCCCCCCTTCCAGTCCAAACACTTCCCCCCCCTTCCAGTCCGGACACTTTCCCCCCTTCCAGTCCGGACACTTTCCCCCCCTTCCAGTCCGGACACTTTCCCCCCTTCCAGTCCGGACACTTTCCCCCCCTTCCAGTCCGACACTTTCCCCCCCCCCCATTCCAGTCCGGACACTTTCCCCCCCTTCCAGTCCGGACACTTTCCCCCCCCTTCCAGTCCGGACACTTTCTCCCCCCCCTTCCAGTCCCACTTTCCCCCCCCTTCCAGTCCGGACACTTTCCCCCCCTTCCAGTCCCGGACACTTTTCCCCCCCCCTTCCAGTCCGGACACTTTCCCCCCTTCCAGTCCGACACTTTCCCCCCCCTTCCAGTCCGGACACTTTCACCCCCTTCCAGTCCGGACACTTTCCCCCCCTTCCAGTCCGGACACTTTTCCCCCCCCTTCCAGTCCGGACACACTTTCCCCCCCCTTCCAGTCCGGACACTTTCCCCCCCCCTTCCAGTCCGACACTTTCCCCCCCTTCCAGTCCGGACACTTTCCCCCCCTTCCCAGTCCGGACACTTTTCCCCCCCCTTCCAGTCCGGACACTTTCCCCCCTTCCAGTCCAGAAACGTTCACCCCTTCCAGTCCAGACACCTCACCTTCCCCCCCCCTTCCCTCAGTCCGGACAACTTTCCCCCCTTCCAGTCCGACACTTCCCCCCCCCTTCCAGTCGGGGGACACAGGTTCCCCCCCCCTTCCAGTCCGGACAACTTCCCCCCCCCACATTCCAGTCCGGACACTTTCCCCCCCTTCCAATCCCGGACAAAAAAACTTTCCCCCCTTCCGGACCACACACCCCCCCTTCCAGTCCGTACACTTTCCAGTCCGGACACAAAACCCCCCTTCCAGTCCGGACACTTTCCCCCCCTTCCAGTCCGGACACTTTCCCCCCCCCTTCCAGTCCGGACACTTTCCCCCCTTCCAGTTTCCGTGGACACTTTCCCCCCCCCCCAGTCCGGACACTTTCCCCCCCCCAGTCCGGACACTTTCCCCCCCTTCCAGTCCGGGTAGACTTCCATCCCCCCCATCCAGTCCTGGACACTTTCCCCCCCCCTTCCAGTCCGACACTTCCCCCCCCTTCCAGTCCGGACACTTTCCCCCCTTCCAGTCCGGACACTTTCCCCCCCCTTCCAGTCCGACACTTTCCCCCCCCCTTCCAGTCCGGACACTTCCCCCCCTTCCAGTCCGGACACTTCCCCCCCTTCCAGTCCGGACAACTTTCCCCCCCCCCTTCCAGTCCGGACACTTTCCCCCCCTTCCAGTCCGGACACTTTCCCCCCCTTCCAGTCCGGACACTTTCCCCCCCCCCTTCCAGTCCGGACACTTTCCCCCCCCTTCCCAGTCCGACACTTTTCCCCCCCTTCCAGTCCGACACTTCCCCCCTTCCAGTCCCCCCACTTTCCCCCCCCCCCTTCCAGTCCGGACACTTTCCCCCCCTTCCAGTCCGGAACACTTTCACCCCCTTCCAGTCCGGACACTTTCACCCCCTTCCAGTCCGGACACTTTCCCCCCCTTCCAGTCCGGACACTTTCCCCCCTTCCAGTCCGACACTTTCCCCCCCCTTCCATCCCGACACTTTCCCCCCCTTCCAGTCCCCACTTTCCACCCCCTTCCCCAGACACTTTCCCCCCTTCCAGTCCGACACTTTCCCCCCCTTCCAGTCCGGACACTTTCCCCCCCTTCCAGTCCGGACACTTTCACCCCCCCCCTTCCAGTCCAAACACTTTCACCCCCCTTCCAGTCCGCACACTTCCCCCCCTTTCCAGTCCATCAACTCTTCACCCCCTTTCCAGTCCGGACACTTTCAAATAGCCCCCTTCCAGTCCGACAACTTTCCCCCCCTTCCCCTATCTGGGACACTTTCACCCCCTTCCAGTCCCGGACACTTTCCCCCCCCTTCCAGTCCGAACACTTTCCCCCCTTCAAAA